CTACCTCCTCGCGGCCGGACTCCCTTGGCCAATTTAATCTCTTTTTCCCCGAACTCTACGATCCGTATTCCCGTAGAAAGGCCTGGTGGATGCTAGTTTTTATATGCCTCAAATCGCCGCGTCACAATGTAACGTTGGATGCACTTTTGTCCGTTTTTGTTGGCACATATTTTTCTTTGTAGCGGTTTTAGGACAAACAGTAAAAGGAAACACAACAGAAGAAGAAGAAAGACACAAATTATTTTTATAATCTTCCATGGGTTTCATCGTTATAGTAAATAAATGGAACCCGTCATTTCTTTTCGGCAGCGTTTTGGAATTTGAAAAGGCTTGCGCTGTGGACATGTGCTCATGTTGGTGATATAAGGGGCTTTACGTTTTCAGGTTTCGGGGAAGGTTTCTGTTTGTTTACACCGCCGCTACAACAACAAGCTTGACCCCTTTCGCACCATGGCACCATCCCATACAGTGACCCTGGCCAGATGGCCGGAGGTTGCCTCGCACAAGTTGTTGTGGTCAGCAGAAATGTAGTTAGATAATCGTATTCATTGTCTTGGCCAATCAGGCGTAATTGTCTTACAATTAGCAAAATTTAATCCCTCCCAGATATTCCATAAATGGACAGAGCTGGCAAAACATGTTAATAAGGATGTGTCCTCGTATAAATATCACCGCGACCTACTCGCAGACTCATTACGCACGGAAAGAAACCCCACGTCCAACGGCGGCGTGACCCCACGACCAGGCCGCGGGACGTGGAGCGCGGGTAGCCCGGCCAATCTGGAGCAGCGCACGGGCGTAGAATGCAGGCAGCCCCGGCCAACAGCGCGCGGGCGTGGAAAGCGGGTGTCCCGCGGCCCGGTCAACCCTCGCCGGAGCAGCACGCACACTTGGAAGGCCCCCGGATTTTAGTCGTGCAGGCACGGAGGTAAGCCCAAACTTGAGTAGGTTGAGACTGTTCTTTTAATATTGGAACCATGCCATATGTAGTGTGTATTTGTGTCCACGGTCTTGGTTCATGTTGCCTTCTTACGTGTACCATCAAACGGTGTATTATTTTGGTTTAAAGTTTTTTTGTGTAATGTTATGATTTTTTTGTGTGCATGTAACATGTAAGTTGTTCCATTTCGATCAGTCCGTTTTTCCATGCAGTCGTTCAGGCTAGGTGACATTGTCTCTGAGCGGCCCCACGTTCTGCTCGGGTACCGTCTCTTATTTTGAAATTTAAAGAATCGTTGTTCTCACCGGCGTCCTGACGGTTCTGATACCGTTTCGTCCAAATGTTTTCCTTCGCTGTCAATCGTTGTTGTAAAGCTTGCGTAAATAACTCATTAATTTCGTTTCTACACTACGTATGATAACCCTTTATACTATTCTAAATGACGTACCCACTAAACTTAGCCTGTTGCGATTCTTTGGCTTAAAGTAAGTGTTGCCCCCAGCTTCTGACAACAGTGATTTTCCCCACAGTTCCCGACAATGTCAACGTGAAAAGTTCTAGTGGTTTGGGGGAAATTGGGTCACAGAGTAAAGATGAAAACATTCGCCTTTACATTTGTTGAGGATGTAGAACTGGTTTCTTAAGATTATACAAGAAGAAGCGCAGGCGGGCGTCCATGACCGTAGATATACCGGGGAGGCTACGTATATACGGTGCTAGGGCGAATAATCGTTCCGTTGTATTTACAATCAGTTCCTTGACTCTGCTTCATACGTTTTGAGACTGACAGTTCATCGTTTTCAGAAAAATCCGCGCCTTGGACCGTCACATTCATATATGCCCTGCTATCACCATGGTACATCGCGTGGATCATTTCATTTCCCAACAGCCACAACTATCAACTTTAAAACAAATCATTTTAAAAACTTTGCTTTGACTGATGTTGTGGTTTGAGTAAACAAGGAAGCGATTCGAATCTGCTGTCTCGGCGGGGTTGATTGGACGGGGTGAGAGTATAGAAGAAAATTCGCCCTTTGTCTGTACAATAATTATATACTAGAATAGGGTACTTGCTCATTAAATCTTTTGGAACTTTCCCTACTTTTGCTTTTTGTCGGCTTATAATATCAGCGGTTATAGGAAAGGTGAGTTCGCTTAGAATTAGAAATGCATAATGCGGATTCGATGGCCAGTAAGCGGTAAACCATACGGGTCTGTTGGTTACATCATCGTACGATATTAAGAAAGTACGTGGCTATTGACACACCCGTTGTGGATATAAAATATTTCTCTTTCCTTATTGACACACCCGGTGTGGATAGGAATTTTTTCTCTTTATCGTATTCACTTGGTGTGGATATAAAAAATTATTTTCTTATTGACACACCCGACGTGGATGTATTTTTTGTTTATTGACAATCCGGTACATCCTAACTCTAACCCTTGATGATTGATGCACCTACACTTTGCTGCTCTGTACGCATGTTCTCCTCCGCGGTCACGCTGAACGCTGTCGAACTATGCAGAATAACGCAACCCTAGAATATAACAAACTTCGTTAACTTGTTCTACACTGTTTCTTTCAGCTCTACATGACGACAAACACAAAAGTTACTCAAGAATACAAGACAGAAGAAGTGGAACAAAATACCAGGTAAGTGCCTAACCATCCTTATTATACGCAATATTGCAAATAATCACGATAGTTAGGCAATGTTCGCATCTCTATAGTACTTCTTTCACGATAAGCTGTGTGAGTTTTGAAAAGTACCATGCTTTCTATGATTAATGATTGCTGGGAAAACAATGTAGCCTGGGTGCCAGGCCCCCGTGCCATGATTCAGTTAAATTACATGATAGGACTATTAAAGCATGTGGCATATGTAATTGCGAACGAGAGAAACACAGGCAGATATTATGTAAATTAAGATTTAATTTGCATAATTAATGAGAAATTCAGCAATGTTGTAATTCAGCAATGGTAACTGCCTGGAATTTCATACCTAGGGCATTTGAAAGTTAGGTGAAGGTAAACATCATTAAATCACATAACTTATTCAAATATGGACCTCATTTGCTTTTCTCTTTTTGTGTCCACAGGTAAATTTCGCCATGTCTCACCCTGAGATGCAGACTACAGCAGGGATTCACTGGCAAGCACGAAGCCCAGTCAAGGAAGGATCGGGGTGTGCATTCATGATTTGCACGCAAGAAGATTGAAAAAAACAAGCATTGAATGCAGCAGCATCGTGAAAGCAAAGAAAAATATGAATAAAAAAGCAAGACTGACACAAACACGCATGGTGGAAAACACACAAAACATCATCATTAGCACACAGTTAAGTTATAAATAAAAGCCCAGCATCATATGGTTGAAGCTAAAAACTTACTTAAAACATTATTCTTTTAAGCTTGAATATGCTGCTCCTTGTTCTTTCTTATGAGCAACAAAATTATTCTGTTTTATTTTATTCTATTTTTCTCTCTTGATAGAAGAGAATATATTTGAAATATCAATAAAGACAATCATTAATATTCTGTGTGCAAAAAGCCACAGTTGGCCGGAAAAGGTGCCTTATGCATGCATGGTAACATAGGCCTTTCCTACTTATAAAGTATCCAGTTATCGACTGACAACTAAGCCATTAAACTTTAAACAAAAGACTTCTGCAAAAGATCAACCATCACTTTAGATATCCCTACTTGCTGTGTACAAACACAGAGTCATTCAAACAAGTAATTCCCTAGGGAATGCATTGACGGAATTTTTAGAATATTTTCAACTCGATCGCAGTACTATACTAACGGCTCCGCCCCTGAGGCGTCGCCAAAAAACATTGGAAAACGATACCAATGTCGTAGAATCCCAAAATCAAACGGAAATGACGAAAATGTAAAGAAACGAATTTGAAGAGTAGATTATTCGCCAAACCATACTCTGTGCCATTTGTTCAATCTTCAAAACCACGTAGGTTTTAATAATGAAAGCAACTTTTCTTTTTTTTTGCCAAACTTTTTTTTATTCGCACGCTCGCATCAGTTTTGGGGTTCCCAGACGATGTCATCCATATAATCAAATCAACATGGCCTAATTTATTTCAAATATTTTCTTGTTATATCAGTACGTGTCCTTACTCCAGTATAGACGTAATTCGGGCCCGTAAACCGGTAGTTTTGTGTACTGACACCTAGTTACGATCTGACAAGGCTTGTTTAGCGGAGCCAAATCGTCAATAAACACGGGATCAGTTTTTCATCGCCCCGGTGTTGTCAGTTACACATTCCCGGAATGTTTGTAAACTATGCTGGGAACGAGAACCAACCCTTAGGCCACAGCAAGTAAGGCCATGTTGATTTGATTATATGGATGACATCCGCGCGCGCATGAATTTTCGGCCGTTTCCAAAAAAAAAAAGTTTTCAACCATACTGTAAATCGTACAAAAAAAATTAATAAAAACCATACCATACCATTCGGCCGTTTCCCCCCAAAAAAAGTTTTCAACCATACTGTAAATCGTACAAAACAGTTGCAAAATGAGCAAAAATATACCATAAGTTACAAAAAAGATTAATAAAAACTATACCAATGTCGTAGAATGCCAAAATCAAACGAAAAAAAGACGAAATTGTAAAGAAATGAACTTGAAGACTAGATTATTCGCCAAACCATATTCTGTGCCATTTGCTCAACCCTCATGACCACGTAGATTTCATAATGAAAAAGTAACTTTTTTTTTTGCAATTTTTTTTTATTCGCACGCGCGCATCAGTTTTGGGGCTCCCGGAGGATGTCATCCATATAATCAAATCAACATGGCCTAAATGTGAAGAGAGGAGACAAGACAAGGCTTTAATTTTTAGTTTTACCTTGTAGTGTTGTATTTCATTCCTTTAACGTTATATGTGATGTTGCCGATGACTAAAAATATTGTTTGACAAGGTTTATGATCTCAGCATTTGAAAATTATAGAATGTTGTTTTTTGCCCGCCTTGTTTTATTTTCGCCCTATCGCATTCGATTTGAGTCTGCGGAGGATGTCATCCATAAAATTTACTTGCTGTGGCCTTACGCTAGAACTGACACGTCGCTTCTCTTGTTTCCATTTTCTGCTTTTTCTGTATGTCCTGTACGTATACCGTTTTCATCGCCTTTTTCTAAGACCACACCAATTTAATTTGTTGGTTCTCGGATTTTTTTAGAAAAAATATGAAGCGACAGGAAAAAAAAACATAAAAATAAAACAGGTCTAGGGCATCCTACCATAGCCCAAAATGCAATGATAGGAGCTATGAAGTCAACACAAAAGGCTGGGTTAATATTTAAACAATTATAGCCCAAAATGCAATGATAGGAGCCATGAAGTCAACACAAAAGGCTGGGTTAATATTTAAACAATTAATTTTTTTAGCTTTTAATCAAACCAATGCATTGATAGATGGAAAAACTGTAACAACTAGAAAGGAAAGAAGTACTCTCCTCAACGGTTGAGGGCAAAATATAATCATTTTTTAGCGTGTTCAGAACCATAATCTCTCTTTTTTTGCCAATAACAAAAAAATGAAGAGGCGAATCCGAGAACTAACAAACCTGATTTATTGCTATTTTGATGATGAATAAAGACTTTTTGCTTGTTACACTGTGTCACCTCAATTTGTGTCCTAACATTTGTCGTCTCTTAGTATATTTCTAATCTAGGCATCTTTTTTTTTTCGCCCTCTCGCATTAGATTTAGGGTCTCCAAACGACGTCATCCATAAAATTTACTTGGTGTGGCCTAAAATTGAATTACAAAAATAAGTAGGCTATGAATGGAAACCGATTGGTGTCCTTAAAGACCTGACCGATATGAAGTCACTATGTCCATCTCAGTAGTATTTTTACCACGGCGCGCCCGTTTCATCATGGGATCTATTCGAACAGTTTGATCGAGTAACATATGGCGTCGGGTGGTGTAGTGGTTAGAGCAATCGACTATGAACCGGGGAGACCCGGGTTCGATTCCGAGTCGTACCCGGGACATGTCTGAAAATACGCCCCGACGTTGTGCCCTTGGGAAAAACACGAATTTTCTCACTCCACCCAGGTGTGAATGGGTACCTAACTTCGGTTGGGGAAAGAGGTATTGAGGTCACCTTGTGGCACCGAATGGCAGCCGCACAGACACAGAAATATGTGTATCATGCATGTGTATTATTTGATTGTTGTAATTGTTGTGATTTGTATTGATTATTATGTGATACCCTGCATCAATTCAGCCGTATAAAGGCTGCGACTGCACGGGTACTGTTTGGACAATAAAAACCATTTATTAAAAAAATATGCGCAGAGTAGATTCCAATATCAGGCCTAAAGACATAAGACCCGGGTTACGAGGCTGTATAGATGATTTAAAGATCCTTTGGAAGGGCGACAGATATATCAATTGTTTTATTAGGCCATGTTGATTTGATTATATGGATGACATCTATGCAAAAATTGTTTTCGACCATACTGAAAATCGTACAAAATGAGCGAATATATGTCTTATGTTGCAAAAAGTGGAAAACGATCTTAATGTCATAGAATGCCGAAATCAATTCAGGAAAAAAAGAAAATATGAAGAAATGAAAATGAAGAGTCTATTCGCCATACCAAACGTTGTGTGTTTAGTCATTTGGTCAACCTTTATGACCACGTAGATTTCATAATGAAGGAAACTTTTTTAAAGAAAGATTTAAAAAAACTTTTTTTGCCAATTTTTTTTCGCACGCTCGCGTCAGTTTTGGGGTTCACAGAGGATGTCATTCAATCAACATGGCCTTATCTGAAAATACCTTCATCGCGAAGTTGCGAAAATCGCCGAAGGAGCATATTTGAAACACTATATATAGGAAAGAATGTGATGGTAAAGTTTCATCCTCAGAAAACATCTGTTTTATGTTACAGGCCCTGTGGTTTGTCAGTTTTGTTCAGCGGACACCATCTTTCTTTTTTCTACAACGACAAACTCTCCCTCCCTCTAGAAATTCTCGACCCGGGAGTCTATTTGAGTACACCTTACGACCATGTTTTTCTACTTAATAGCTCGGCTTGTTGGCGGGGGACTGTATATTCTACTGAAAATCATTTTCTGAGACGGTTTGACGACCCTGAGTTGCTGTGACTCGGTGGGACTTCTCTCGTGTCGTGTGCGGGTTCAGGACCAGGGGAGGCCCGCTGGGAGGCGACGTGTGGGGCGGGGGCGGGGGCAGGAACCTAAAGGGGGGCCGGCATGCCCTTTTTCGTATTCATCAGGCCTTTTTTTAGTTCGTTCAAAAAAAAATCAATCTTTTTCTGTTTAAATTTCAATCATATCTTTTTAATTGTGTTTTATTCTTCAAATAAATTATTCAAAATAAACTACAATACGTTTTTAATAGATAGATACTACAAGCCTTCACATTAGTGTTAGTGCCCTGTCCCCTGTACAATGGTACGGTCCAAAAAGTGGTCGGTTAGTATTGTAATAACTGACCACTTTTTAGGATAACCGATGGGAAATGGAGCCCTCTGATTTGTCGACACCTTCTGGCTATATGATAATGTTTGCTATAATGTAGCTAAAACTATAGCTAGCTAATATACATGTACCTGTCACTGATAACCACAAATCACAGCTGTGTGATACGGAATCAATTTTGGTTATTTTGGTCATTTGAGGACGCGCGAATTCAAAATCGGTGCTTCTGTAGACCTACGGATGACCCATCTTCAAACGTGCGAATATCGTACATGTAACACATTTTGTAGTGACGAAAGAAAGTACAAAGACAAACAGAAATGATACATCTCATGACCCCCAGGAGGCTTCCCGCCAATTTCCCAGACCACATATACCTCGGTCCTGACCTGTTCCCAGCTTTGCTCCAGATTTTCTCTCTCTCCTCTTAGCCTGGTATACAGTGTCTCGTGGTTGGGGCATCGTAGTTAGACAGGCTGTCTTCGGGACTATAATAGTTTTTCCCCGCCCAGTACAACAGGCCGCCCGGTAGGAGAGTTACCGTCTAAGAGTTTGGCACGCCAGGAGTTAATTTGCCCATTAAACTCCTGCCGTGAAAAACCTACCGGGGGAACCTAGCTCAGGCGGGCGGGGAAGAGCTCTTGTAGCCCCGAAGAAAACCCACCCTACCACACGATAGACTGGGTACCAGGTTACTCTCCTCTTGGCACGCTGACCAATTCCTGACGACCCCTGACGAATAACTCTGACAACCCCGCGCGTC